AAACTCAGCAAGGTGTTCGAAGTGAATATAGGAGTATGAAAATGCTGTCTGCCTACTATCACCGATGAAATTCTTAACTGTGGATGGTTTATGTTTAATGTCACACAAGCTGGAAGACTTACAGGCGAAAACCAACAAGCTGGCTGAAGAGGCAGGCAGCCAAGACAGGACTCCAGGTGAACATAGAGAAGACAAGGTGGTGAGGATAACCAACAACAACCAACACCAATCACCATCAACAGGAGGGATTTCAAAGAGGTTGCTTCATTCACTTATCTAGGGAGCATTGTCTCAACTACAGGAGGAACAGACGAGGATGTCATATCGAGAATCGGGAAGGCGAGAAAAACATTCATCAACCTGAAATCAATCTGGGAATCCTCGTTACTCAGCCACCATCAACAACAAAATTCGGATTTTCAATACAAACGTAAAATCAGTTCTTCTATACCGATCAGAAACTTGGCGGGCGGGCGGGTCACAAAGAATATTTCCAATAGGCTATAGCAGACCATTATCAACAACTGTCTTCGCTCTATACTGAAGATCAGATAGTCGGGCCGGAAAGAATCAACCCACCAACAAGAAACTATGGGAAGAAACAAAACAAGAACCGATCGCCCAACAAATATGCAGGAGAAAGTGGAGATGGATTGGACACTCGTTGAGAAGGCCGGTTGGTGACATCGTGCGTCAGGCCATTGCTCGATTAGAACCCGAAAGGGAAGAGGCGAGTGGGACGTCCAAGGATGACATGGAGGAGATCGTGTGAATAGGAGTTGAAACAGTATGAACTAACATGGATGCAGGTGAAAAGTACAGCAAAAGACAGAAGCAAGTGGAAACGTGCAGTTGAAGCCCTATATTCCATTTGGAACCCATGGCAACAATAATAATAGGTACCATACTTCGAGCTGTTAAACATCCATCAAAGTTTAAATAGCTTAAGACATTTCAATTGTAGATGAAATTATCACCCTTTCAATTATTTACATGTCGATTTTAATAGTACTGAAATAATGTTGATAGCATTTAGAATTTCAATGATGATCTTATGAGGAAATCAAGTCACAAGAAATGGAGTTTGAAAAAACAAAAGAAACACTAGCTAACAATGATGCCATGAAATTAAAATTTGACCTAATTACAAAACATCTTTACATACACTGATATAATACAACACATGTGGCAACAAATTTTAATCACATGTACCCACTAGAAATTAATTAATCTTACAATTATCAATAACAATGTCTCGCATATGTTTTAACACTTTTTCAATCACTTCCTTATGTAAAATTTTCGGTTGTAACAACCTCCATCAAATTATTTCAGGTTTCATGTCAGTCAGCGAACCAGTGGAAGTCAGAGAGTACTGGACAGCTGTTTTGTCATATATTTGCGACTCTTCGAGAGTACGCCACTACAACTTCTACCTTCCCCCCTCAGCGATCTAACCTAGAACCTTCACGTTACAAGGTAAGCCACTGGGGCAGAATCCAGTAAACCATCAATTCTAACTTCTGTTGATTTGTGCTTTTAGCACCGAAGTCACCAGTGAGTATTAGTCCTCAGACCCAACTTGGTGGACCTTACCGGTAGTCACTTCTCAAATATATATATATATATTCCTTTGATATTTTAGATGATTTCCCTGGAGAATTTGGAATCACTTCGCCAGACGAAACGTTCTTACATTTGTCTACTTTTCACTTAATACCCAATTATGATCGGACTATTCAGTCAAGTCTTGACCACAGTTCGTACAAAGTATGTGATTTCAGACACTGAGAAATACGAATCTTCAAAATGTAACAAATGGTGTTTTTGTCACAATTATTTTCAATAAAGAAAAAATCCCAATTTAGACATTTAGAAAACAGAAAGATTGAGCGAAGAAATATTTACTTTTCGATTAGATCCTCATCTTCGGCTCTACTCTAATATATATAGCATTTTAATTGCAATATAACAGTTTGCCAATCAAGTGGCGATAAGTTTGTTAACAACAATGTAATCCTACCAAATATGATCATTAACGAAAAATGATATATCCTCGAATACACCGCCTAGTTATCAAATTTCCTAGTTAGATTAAAGGCGTATACTGTGCTATTTTAAAATCATTTCAGTAAGCAATATATATACAAAAGCGTATTGCGTATTCAGATGTAAGCAGTTCCTATAGAGGAGTGTTATATTCTTGTTTCCAAGTGAAGTTATTAGTCATAATATCTAATTAAAAATAAGCTGAAACATTAAACAAACTAATTAATTATCAAAATATGGGGGTGAAGGAACACCTAGACCGAGATCCGAAATAGTTAAAACGACACCAGTTTTATCTGTCTAGCGTATTCAGTGGAACCGAAAAAAGAATTAAGGGTGGATTAAAAAGAACATTTCCCGCCACCAGATTCATTCTACCTTAAAACACGGTATGCTCCTTAGCTCAGTCAAAAGCAGATAAGTAACTCCAACTACACTTAGTGTGGACAACAGCATTATTCCACGTCAGTGCTTGCTGAGGCATAAGTGTCCCTCCTTGGTTAGTTTGTCAAGGTAGCCTTTCTTCCAATACACAAACACCTTTCCTTCCTTACAAACCCTGTGAAATAATGTCACCAGAATATCTAACGCAGACTTTGTGGCCGTTTTCAGTGCTTCGGGGGAATTCCGTCTCAGCCTGCTGCATTCGCGGCTGGACTTCAGGAGCTCAATTGCATCCAAGGTATCTGCTTTCATCAGAGGATTGGTGTCTGCTGGCAGACAGTTCTGTGTGCTGTTGGTGGTATTTCCGGGCGAATTGCAGGTAATGGCTGATTCAAAAGTCCTTTGAAATGATTCATCCCACTGTTTTATTTGTTTCTCTTCTTTGGTAATTAGGTTCCTTTGAGAATCCATTATAGGTTTCACCTGCGTTGGGATCTTCTCGGATAGAGACCTGGTTATGTGATACAATCTTCCGAGGTCTCTTTCACCTGAGGCTTTCCTGTTCTGCTTTTGTAGTTGACAGTCTGTCATGGAATTGTCTGTTATCTTTCCTAGCATTCTTCTTCACTTTTTTATTCAGTGCAGAGTACATTGAATTCAGCTTCTCCCTCTGATGTCTATCTTTGCATTGAGTCATCTCTTTCACCGTCCTCCTCTCTTCTATTAGCTTCCAGGTAGGTGTCCGTTGACAGCCACACCTCGTCTTATCTCTTCTTTCTTCCCAGAAGAGTTGTAAACATTCCCCTGAACATCAACCCCTGAGAAGTCCAATGTTCTTCCACGCCAGTTTCCTCGATGATGCTACTTGGTGTCTCTGACTTCGCTGATTTTTTTGATTACAGCTTGATTCCACAGCGTATTTTTTGGTACAGGTATGGAATTTTCGGCATGTGATATCGGTAGCCCAAATTTTGCAGGCCGACCATAGATATCAGGTGTGTGTCGGCAGAGGATCGAATCCCGGACCATTTGTATGGTCAGTGAGAGATCTAACCACTGTGCCACAGACGCACAGTGGTGAAGGTATCACCTTTACTTTTGTCACTAAGTTTCTGAATGTTGAACTTGAATTACAGTGGCCTGTCTCCAGTTGTTTTAAAGGAGTTTAGCTTCACCTTGAAGGTTCATGGACCAGATGGTTTGGGCCTAAATCCGCTCCCCTTCTCAACGTTGCGTTAGCAGATCAGCTGCGTCTCCACTTCCCTCGGCAGCATTGAGGTGAAGTCCATCTAGTTTTTGGTGTGCCCATCAGGCGAAATCCACGTTGCTTTGTATATATCCTTGTGCTGGTACCCGTTATCTCATTATTTATCTTCCAGTTATCTTAGTTGTTCGTTTACGTGACAATTTCACTTTTATTTACCAAATCTTTTCACTTCTACCCTCTCTTCTCGAAAGTTCCGTCACATTATGTATAAATAAACTGGGATTGCTGGTAGATTAGTAAGTATCATTTATTTATATCTCATATTCCACAAATACGAGCCTTTTCTGTTGAAATAATCTCTGAAATATGTTATATATTATGGCGTTTACACTAACTGTCATTTTCAGGCTGCTAGCAGCTGATGGAAGGCCGTCGAATATAAAAATGGGCTCCTTTAATCTTGCAAATATATTTTTTCAAGGTACTACTACCTCTGACTCCAGGGTCCAAAAAGTCGAAAAATTGAAAAATGGTGTATCGCTCCCGAAGGACTCAGGGATGCCGGATAATGGTATTAGGACTTTTGATCATGGGTTTTAAGCTTGTTTTGAGATAAAACCGCCTAGATAGTCTACCTTACTTACTACGCATAAATCGTGAAGTAACCAGAGCAGAAGTCATATGGAGGGTACGGGCATGAGTGATACCATTCCCACAGCACACTAATATGATTATGGATGGTTTTCTGGTCTTGCAGATGTACATAGGCTATTTACATGTCTCACCACTTATATGTCCATATATCAGTTCACCTGTTATTATGAAGCCAGGTATATTGGCCGTTAGACGCGTCACCTGTCTAAAAGACTACAAGAACACTATCCCACTTGGTTGCAGAAACATAGCAGTGACTCTATAAGGAGTACAGTAATCAAACACATCATTTCACCTGAACAAATGACTCCTTCAAAGTAATCTACAAAGTGAATAACAACCTCCCAAAGGCAATACGCTTTCGTCTCCTCTGTATTGCTGAAGCCTTAGATATGCAATTAGGAAAACCGGAATAATGTATGCAAAAGAAAATTATTCACCCACTTTTACTATAATAGTAACAACCTCATTGATTTCTACTGACCTGATTTTTGTTTTCTCTCTTTAACTTCCTTATACCTCTTCTACGTATTTAAACCTCTTGTGTAATTCCATATTTTCTTTGATTTCTATGTGCATCCTGACTACAACTCGTTCATTAATACACTTATTAAACTTCCCTTATGCATTGACTAGCATTAACAACTATGTTCGTAACAACTCATCACTTTTGTTTAAATCTTTTACTAAAAAGAATTGTATGTACAAATGCGATTGTACAGCTAAAGAGGGGAATGAATTCGCTGAAAAGAGCCTCTTAGCTGAACCACGTGTTTTCTTTTGATTAACGTCTGTCTAGATGAGGATTATTCATGAAGAATAACACATGGCAAGGATTTCTGCAGAGGGAATCCTTCCAACAGAATGACCTCATGTCCTCTTTAAATATTGGTGCATATATTTGATTCAATTGACACTTTCCCGTCAACTGATTGAGCCGAAGTGTTCGATCTCAGATTGACATATCAGTTCCTTATGCAGATAACGCTTTGGCGCTTGAAACCACGAGTACTGGGTTTGAGCCTCGGTGGAGAATACCATCACTCACTGTGGAGTGCAGGCATATCCAGATGACGAGTCCCAAATGGGACGAAATGTGTATCCTGGATTCCACTGCTAGTTACCATCCCCGCCAATTGGTGCGTGAGATGTGAGCTTCAATTCAGCTTCTTCCAATGACCCAGTAGACTACTCACATCATTTCTACCAGAAAATCAATATTCAGTGTCATTTTACGCAGACAATCAATTAACAAAAATATGACATTGATGGATGAATACTTAGTACAGAAGACAACTGTGTTTGGGTATAAAAACTATCTACCGTTCACTAACTTTATTTTTCACCTAAAAACATACACACACACAGAGAGAGAGACATACTGATGTGATGAATACCCACACATACACACACCTCTGCCACCCCCTAAAAGATCATCATCATGATCAATTCTTTCGTAATACAAAAAAGAAATACCAGAGAAATACTTAAGTAGTAAATAAGTAGTATAAATGAGAATCGCTAAAAAGATGGTAGAAAATGGTATACAAGATAATAATAATAATCATAATCATAATAATAATAGTAATAATAACAATAAAAAGAGACACAATTAAAATACAATAATAATACACTGTGTTTCAATCAGTTTTCTTTTCAATGTCTTATAGTGTATAACACTGTTATAAGCGTATACGCGTATACGATTGTTGCTGAGATGCAATGCACTTTGATTCATCCCCATCATCATCAAACAGAATCTACACATTTTGAAGAGAGAGAGGGAGAGAGAGAGAGAATGATTCATTGTAGGCGAAATCATGATTATCAAACAGCATCAACATATCTGAAATCCCATTTCCGCATAACACACACACACAAATGACATTGTTATTCGATCAAGAGGCTTTGTAGTGATGCAAGAAAATAGAAAGTAGAGAGGAAGAAGAGTAAAGAAGAAATTCACGACATACTTCGTTCTGTGACTATCAGCATATCAAGCATAGCTGTTTTTCTTGACATTTCTTTTTCATCGAAGTACTTGTAACCTAGAAGAACGAGTATGACGTTCATAGAAATAAATAAATCAATAAATAATACTAAAATGTTTCACATAGTTTTGTAACAAGAAAAGAAGAAGCCACACACACACACACACACAGATGCAAATCAATCCGTTAATCAGAAAATAAAGATAGCACTACTAATGATCACATTACAGGAGCAGCGGCAGCAACGATTAATCATAAAAATCATCGTAACAAGAGACAAGAGAGAGAGAGAGAGAAAGGCATAGAATACAATACAATACAATCATGAGATAATCTAAATAAAGGATTATGCAGCACTACTACTAGTTTCAGTTCTATCAGTGTTCATCACATTACCACCACTACTACTACTCATATTATTGTTAGTAGTAGTAGTTGTTGTTGTTGTAGCAGCAGTAGCAGAAGCATTATCCGATTGATTTAGAATTTGACTAGGACTAATCACATTCGCCGCCAACGACACTGAACGATCAACATTAGCCGTAGATTGTGTGATGTTGTTGTTAACACTGTTTGTTGTCGCAGCGATAATTTCTTCATAACTAGGCGGTGGAGGTGTATCCGACAGTTTTGGACTTAATATTTGACTAGATGTTGCATTATTTTGTTCATTATCATCAACAATGGAACAACTGAATCGATGAGTACGCATTGGTGATGATTTGGGTAAACCATTCGGGGGTGTGATTTGATTATCATTCTGTGTTGACAGTGATGGTGGTAACCAATCATAGGCAGCAGCATTAAAACGATCTGTAACTACTGTATTAGGAGTGGTAGTAGTAGTATTCGGTGGTAGGGGTGTAATTCCAGAAAGTTTAACAATATCTGTATACGCTGGTGGAAGATCCATGTTTCTGAGGATAATAAAAGAGAAAAGAAAAAAGTGTGGAGTAATCGTTTATCACAAATTTTATTAGGAATACAATTTAAGTTAATTAATGTTAAGTAGTGAAACTTTCTACCACCAACCACCTCTTTAATATACCCAGAATGGAGATGAATACAAAATTTAATATTATTATTGTTCCCTTGGGTTTCGAGTGGAACATAGCACTCCCCAATCTTGTCCTGTTCTCTGAGGTCCTCTTTATCTGGCCCCATAAATTTTCTAACTCCTTCACGTTCCCAGTGGAACACAGGGCTTCAAGCTAGAGGCTTGAAGTTTCTATACTTATTTTTTACAGGATGGGGTTGCTAGCCTCATGCCCAACCTTTCCTCTGTACCAGCTTTATTTCTGGCTTACCGAGGTAAAGGAATGAGTCAACCAGGGATCGAACCCCGGACTATGTGCATGGTCAGCGAGCGTCCTGACCGCTGTGCCACCGACGCGCTATCCGGCTAAATGATTGCCTATAATCTCTCATCTCCTCCTCCAACTCACACCATCTCCTCGACATCACCCTCGCACCGACCACCCACTTCTCGCTTCCCATTTGGGTTCCACTCGAGTGATGTCCTGCACTGTGTGAGATGTCATTCGACAGCGTCTTGAATGAATGCCTGATCAATCTCCACTTTCTGCTACACAGTTTCTTGTCACTAATTGTTTCTAGCCGACCGGTCATCCGAAATTCAGTATGGAACCAGCGAAGTGAGCAGCTGCACATAAAAGTATGCAGCTGGCTGTTGGAAGTAATTTTCGTGATGCACACACCAAGTTTCTGACCCATATACAACTGATTGACTTCGCATTTGTGTTGAAATTCCGAATCTTGCTAAGTGCTGAGTGATGAAAAATTCCCAACTGATATCAGATTGATGAAGATGTATCCGCACACCTCTTGAAATGCTCCCATATGACCGGGCGTCTTACATAGCCTCTCCTGAGAAAGTCCTACTCACTGCCTTCACGTGGCGGAGGTGTTTCTCACCAAAGTGACAGGGCGAAAGCGGATGCCCGGCGCTCTCCACCGGGTTGACTGTCCATTGGATGATAGTCTAGGGGAGATGGCTAAACCCTGATTCCAAACCTCCAACGACTGGCGTATGAAGCTCACTGGAGCTCACCGGCAGACGCATGGACAAAGGGCTTTTTGGATGTCCTGGATGTCTGGCCCCATTCAAAAAGGCGTATGAACCGAACTCCGGTCACTGGCTGCCAATGGATAGTGGACTCCTTACTCCACTCCTACTGCCTTGTAGGTCACACTTGGCTGTGTAAAGGCTAGAGCTGCACTCTCAAACAAAAGGCCGAGCGATGCTGGGGACATCACTCGTACCAAATTCCCAAGAAACTTCATGAACTCTCTTACAAATTGCCACACCTGGGCAGCGATGATTCGAGACGTTCATGAAGCCGGCTCATCCTCCCGTAGGAGATAGCCGAAGTAAAGTAAAGTAAGTAAGTATCCTGCCTTTTCGATTCTAGTTTTGACATCTTCATCTGTTCTATCGTCTGTAGTTGAAACAATGCTTCCTAGATAAGTGAAGGAAGTGACCTCTTTGAATTTTTTTTCGTTGATTATAATTCGTGAAATACATCGTTTAAACAAGTTTAATTCAGAAATATTTTCCCGTGTTTTGAAGTTTTCGTAGAGAATATATTGATTTTCCAGGATAGGATCACCAGCTCCATGCCTAACCTCCCCTCTTTCCTTAGGCTTAGGACTGGTTAGCGAACTGGCAAACTACTAAACAAGGCGATGGAATAAACTTTAAAGAAGTCACCTACACGTTTCTAGGCAACATCGTTTCAACTAGAGATAGCAGTACAGATGGGGATGCCAAAACCAGCCAGAATCGGAAAGGCAAGACAGGCCATCATCACTCTAAAATCAGTTAGGAAAACTACTGCACTCATAACAAATAACAAGATTATAATCTTGAACACCAATCTCAAGTCAATTCTTCTATATGGGTCAGAAACTTGGCTTGAGCGTCAAGAAAAGCATTTCCAAAAGCGTGTTGCAAACATTTATCAACACCTGCCTTCGCTGGCAGTATATTGAAGATCAGATCCCCAGCTGGAAAGAATTGGCAGCAAGAAACTCTATGAACAATCCGATCAAGAACCTATTGTTCAACAAATATCCCGAAGAAAATGGAGATTCGTCAGACACACACTAAGGAAACCATAGAATGATATCGCGCATTAGGCAGACCCTTGAGTAGAACTCGAATAGGAAACGACGAGCTGGGTGTAGGTCGGGGGGTGACATGGAAGAGGTCATGTAAGCAGGAGATGACGGTTTATGACCAATCCCTGTAGCCAGCTAGAGAAGATTGCAGAGAAAAAGACAAGGTGGAGATGTTCTGATGAAGCCTCATGTTCCAATTGGGACCAAATGGAACAATAATAACAAATCAAAAGTAGCGTCGGTGGCAGAATGCTTGCTAACCACCAAGGTGGTCTAGGATTCAGTTCCCGGCAGGCGCTCTCCTTAATCTCATTAAGCAAGTAGTAAGCCGGGTAGAGAGAGAAGACTGAGAGCATGCGGCTAGCAACTCCACCTTGTAAAAAATAAGCACCAATACTACTGAAACTTAAAACATCAAACATAACGCCTTATGATGTTCCACTCTGAACGCATAGGAACAAAACAAAAGAAATAAATTCGAAAAAAAACAGGTAAAAATCAAATTATACCTTACAAAAAGTAACTAGACTGTCAATAACATACTATGAAAAAAATTGTCAAAATAGTAGAATAAGAGCATTCATTCCATAATAATTTGTTTATTAGATATAAATAACACAGTGAAACAGTATTATTTACTGGATGAAAAAATTTCGTGTAACAATTTATTATTGTTCATAATCATATCTTCAATTATAATCACACAACTTCAAAACTTCAGTTTTATAGTTTTCTTTATTCCTTCCTATTCGTCATAGGGATAGTAAAATTTTCCAGATGTCCAACTGGAATCGTGTTGAATCATTCCCGGTACACGTGTGTGCAGTTGATTCGACAAATAAAACTTCCGTTATCAATTTCTCCCTCCACCCTGTTATCTTGTCCCATCCTATTGCATGGAGGTATGTAATTGCATGTAGTCAGTAGTTATAGCTGAACTATTCTCCAGGTTTCTTATCTTATTAAGATAAATTAATCTAGATTTTGCTAGGGTTTTTGAGCTACGCTAGTCTGACTGACCTCGTTCTACTAATTTGACCTATTTATTTGACCTGATAATCATCGTACCAGGATATTGGATACACTACATTGTTTTGTTTAATTGCGTGTTCCACAGGATTCTTTAACTGACAAAGCCTATTTCTAATTGAGTTTGTGTGTTTGGATGCCACTTTTATTCTTTCACTGTCAAGAATTCTCCGTAAGGTTTCTGAAGTCCCTTCTTTGTATGCAAGTACTACTGATGATTTATATTCCCTATTGTTGGTGTTGCTATTAACCTGTGCATGTTTGACATGCATGTCGTCATTATCATTACTATTAATATTAATAGTAGTGATAGTGATATTTCGCAACTCGTGTCCTAGTCACCTCAATCGCTGTAGCTTCACAACCATCAATTCATCTTCCCTCCTTGCCTGACACCCTACACCTAATCTCAATATTACTCAATATATTATACCACCTAGCACATGAAGAATAGGACGCAAACATCTGTAGTCACCGACAGCTAGATTGGAGCCCAGTTTGCATTGGTTGAAAATCCAGTGTTTACACCGATGAACTACACCTCGATACAAAATGATATGGACGAAAAAGTAAATTACACCAAAAATTATTAATGACAAAACTTAACTTCGTCTCAATAAAAATATGAGTGACACATCAGTGAAATGAAATTGGCTTTAGTAACTTATCCATCACTAGTCGGTGGTAATGCATCGGTGGCATCCGTGGTCGAATGCTCGCTAACCACGCAGATGGTTCGAGGTTCGATCGCCGACCGACGCACTCCAAAACCTCGCTAAGCCAGTAACAAGACTGGCAACGAGAGAAGGTTGGGCATAGGGCTAGCAACCTTATCCCTTAAAAATAAATACCATTGCTAACGAAACTTCGCAGCTCTAGCTTCAAGCCCTATGTTCCATCGGGAACGTAAAAGGAATAACAATTTTTTTAAATCAGTAGTAATCCCGTTGTCACAGATAACATTCTATCATACTCAAAAGAGGGTTTTACAGTCTATATCTGCATACCGGTGTCTGACTAGAGACCTGATGAAGTGCCATGCCTTGTTATTTATTTTATTAAGAGACAAACATGGTGTATTCCACTGCTGGTCACCATCCATCAATTAAATACTAATTAAATCCCCAGACATCTTCGAAGCATCTGCACAAGAAGCCGACATGTCAACCTGAGACCGAGCACTTCGGTCCAATCAATCGACGGGAAAATCAAAAATTTAATGAAATAACTAATACGACCCCTTGCACAAGAGGTGGCTCTCGTGGCCCAAGTGGTCTAGTGGACAACGCTTTGGCATTTGAAACTATGGGCACTGGGTTCGAGCCTCGGTGGGAACACCATCACTCATTGAGAAATGCAGGTACATCCAGATGACGAGTCCCAGACAGGACAGCCGAAATGCGCCTCTTGGATTCCACTGCTAGTCACCATCCATCAATTAAATGGCGTATCATGGCCACCAAGAAATGTGCCATACAAGGGGGAGAGCTAGGATACTGTCTGAACAACCGTACCGAAGCAGGTGGTTGTCTTAAGAGGCCACAACAGCCCCCCCCCTGCGAGTCCACGACTTCAACTTTCTTAATGACTAAAACAGATATATACGCTTGGGCATTGTGGTAGAGTATAACTCCATTATAGATTTATACGCTATTCTATCCATTCAAACTCTAGAGTACATGTTCACCATAAGGTTTGGAATCAGGGTCTCCCAGCTCCCCTATGTAGACAAACATGTCCGGCTATAAGTGCTAAACGTTCGCATTCACCCATTCACTTTAGTGAAGAACACCCTACGCCACTTGAAGGCAGAGGATACGACTTATACATAATAGAAGCTATGAACGCGTGTCCACGTGGGAATATTTCAAGAGGAAGATCGAAATCTACCCATATTGTCAACCATACCAGGTCGTTTGTCGGGGAAACTTTACTGAGACTGAATTTAATCCCCGAGTGATTTGCTAACCACACAAAACTAACAAATATTTTCAAGTGTTGGTTTGTAGGGATTTGATTGATTTCAGGATTTCATCATGAGCTGACATTAGTTAGAGAACCATTGGAAAACCTGGGAGTACTGGACAGCTGTTTCCCGCGTCCTATTTTGGGACTCTTCAGCAGTACGCACCCACCGGGATTCGAACCCAGGACCTTCCGGTTACAAGGCGAGCTCGTATACCATTAAGCCACTGGGACCCGATCCAATGGTCCTTGAATTCTAACTTCTGCCAATTCACGACATAGCGCGACCGCTAGCCAATGTCTTCGGCGAGTATTTGTCCTCACACCCGACCAGCTGAACCCTACTGGTCACGACTTCATGAGTAAGTTTAGCATAGGATAATTAGTACATCTACTGTACACAAGCAACAGCTACAAGACAACCAGCTAAAACTTCTTAATATTAATTCATCAAACAACAGTGAATAAATTAGATCACAGTTTTGTCAAGACATGCATCATAATGTGTAAGTGCAAATGATAGATTAAGCAAAACAATTTTTTTCTTGACCTTATCATGTGTTCATAGAGCATCATAATAATCTTAAACTGAATAGTATTGATCACATAGATACATTTCGGATGTCACATACTGTTATATGTACTTTAAACAGAATTTTTTAAATTTAACTGTCATTATAAGCATATGAATGCAATGAAATAGCCAAGAGACTTCTACATTAATCTGACAGTATCGACCCCTTTCGGTTAAGATATATCTCGTCTTTAGTGTCGGGAATGTAACTAGTATCGTTTGAAAGGGTTCATATCCTGTCATTGGTGAAAATAATTACAAGTGATAAGGAAACAGAGAGCATACATATGGCCAGTTGGAATTATTGAACTTCTTATGCGGTATACTATGTCCGTTCAAAAACTTATTCCTGTTAAAAATGAGATCCCCAATGTGTGTAGTCGTTTTTATCAACCCAAATTAATGTATCTACCTTCATATTTTTCTCTGCAGAACCATTTTCTCTACAGAAAGTGCATATTTATTCAAGAACAGAGTGAAATAAAAGATTTCCCGTTTGATGATTGCGGCTTGATATTATTTAGAGGACTATTGAAAAGAGGAGAATGCTGAACAGCTGTCTCACCCTAGTCAGCAATGCCCATTTCACCAGGGATCGATACTAGGCACCTAGGATTAAAAAACATTGGGATGGAATTCAATGAATGGCTCGTCAATTCTAACTTCCGTCAATTCATAACTTCTAGCGTCACCGCCAGCCAGCATCATCTTACATTTGGTGGGAGCGAGTCGCAAGCCAAACATTCGAAGATTGCAGCTCAAGGCGTTCAGAAGACTCTGGATTTTGTCAGCGTCTTCATCTAGAAGGACTATATTATCTACATAATCAAACTCGACGAGATTATTTACTGGTAACAAGTCAATCCCTGAGTCGCTGAAGTCACTTAGGGTTAAATCCATTTGTACATATATGATGAAATTGAATAGAAATGGGGATAGTGGGCACCCCTGACGGGCACCACCAGTTGTCACCAGTTCAAATTACACAACACAAATTACAAAACTCCATAGTTTCCTTTGGAAACCAAAATTAATTAGATCTACTTGACATCATAAATGGTAATCAAGGAAGCAAGCATAAATGCTACTGATTGATTGAAATGAGTAGTTGGATACTAGCATGACCAGCCAATAGCGCTTGCTCGCCAGAATGAAGTGGTCTAAACACCTTAATTCCATGTATTACCAGTTTTCCCGAGTAGCTAGAAGCCTGAAAATTCTGCAGATCTGAACTGAACCGGCTATAAAAAAACTGAATCAAAACATAGTGCTCCACTGATAAGCTCAGCCGCAAACATGATGAACGGTCATCAGGTGTTTATATCACTTCGATCTGACTAGCAAGCACTTCGTGTGATGATTGATGTAATTCGTATTGTATCCAACCACTCATATCTATCAGTCAGTAGAATATACCATCATGCATCAGTCAGCAAAGTAAATCTCTCAATGAAAAATTCAATCTCTATACAGAAATGAAAAAACTGTGCTGAACAGCTAGTCGATAGTTAAGATAAAGCCCTATAAACAAAGCAGCATGGTAGATGGTGAGTAGGATTCGATCTTCCTCTCCAAATGCTCGCACGTAGCCAGTCATTCATAGCTTCTGTTAGGTAGGTCCTACCAACTCCCTTCACGTAACCGGTGTTCCTCACAAAAGTGAAAGGACGAATGCGAAAGCCTGGCACTTACGACCAGATCTATATATAGGGGAACTGGAAAACCCTGATCCTGGTGCATATGGGCTTCAGAATCCGAAAGGGTCAAATGGCGCATGAACCCGTCTCGATCACCGATGACCATGAGAATTCAGCTCCTTGTGGATCGCACTTCAAGTCAAACGTCTGGGGAGTGATAAACACCTGCTTCCATTTGTGCGTCTGGAAAGTATCTCACACAAACTATAAGATTTAGTGTAGCACATCTCTTGATGCACACAATGTACCAAATTTGTGTTCTATAATAATAAAAATAATAATCTTAAATAAAATAAAATAAATTACCCCAAGTTAATAGGATATCCACTTGTATTACGATGATTTTGTAAGTATTCTGAAGCATCATCACTAACAGCATTACTCTGCAAATGAGATGTTCTATTTCGTCTCCGACCATTTCGATTTAATCCACTACCAGTAGCATTTCCATCAATTTGTCGTGGACCACAAATTTGTCGAAATAAAAAGCGTACAAAGCATACTACTAAACTGATAAGTGCTATAGCGCCAACAATTCCACCAAGAATTTTATACAACTGGAAACCAGAATGATCAAATGAACAGAATGGTATTGTATCTATGATAGAATTGGTATCTCGACTAAAGTATACCTTCTCAGAAGATAAACATTCATTACACTCAAATTCTGTTTCACCTGCTATAGGAACAAAAAATACAAGCAAAACAGATAAAATAAGAGGAAGGCAAAGGATAAAAAGTGATATCATCAAAGAAACAGAAGAAATTATTTCTAAACAATGAAGACAATTTAATGCACTAGACTGACTGCTTTCAACGTACAACTTTGAACAGAAGCGCAGCAGTTCAACTTGCCACACTCCCTACATGTAGCACACAAGGCAGGAGAAGACAGTGAAGAGAGGTTCAAAAGACACAGAAGAAACAGAGGTGTGAGTGAAAAAGAATAGTAAAAATGGAGGAAAAAATAGTTTTTTTTAACATAACGAATCACAAAAAAAAGACGTAAACAGAAAAGAAAATTTTCCATTCGACAACTCATTTTCATAAACTGTACAGCTGTCATTATTATATTTAATAAAGAATTCATAAGACCAATCAGATACTGGTGAAATTTGTCCTCGAAAAAGTATTGAGTAATGTGAGGTGTAGTCTTCTAGAAGGGGTGACTAATTGGAAATTAGAAAAGGGGCAGAAGTTGGCATGACGCGATTATTACTATTATTATTATATCCTTTGATTCCTAGAGGAACATAGGGCTTTAGCTGCGCATCTCCATTACCTTCTGTTTTCTGCCAACTTTTTCACCCCGCCCCAAGTCTGTTCATATACTTTCATCTCCTTTACACATGACCTCATCCAAGTCACCCTCACACTGACGATCAACTCGCCGCTTCCCTTTCAGGTTCCACTCGAGCAACGGTTTGTCTGGTGATGTCACTTGATGGTTTCCTCAGAGTATGGCCAGTCAATCCATCTCCATTTCTTCCTGCCTATTTGTTTCACAATCGGCTCCTGCTGTGTTAGTTCGCTCATTTCCAGATATCCCTGTTTCTGATCTTTTCTGGTCGGCCATCTGATCTTGAGTATTGAGCGAAGACAACTGTTAATGAAGGCCTGAAGTTTGTTTGAGATGCTCTTTATGACGCGCGAAGTCTCGGATCCGTATAGTGAGTAGCACTAACGTCACATTGGAGTTGAAAATCCGGATCTTATTTTCATTTTCATGCTGAGTGCTGTTGACCTCTACAAAGACTTAAGAGTAGTGAAAGCTTGTCTTTATTTTCTGATTCTGGCTTTGATATCCTCGTCAATTCCGCCTGTAGTTGAAACGATGCTTCCCCAGGTAGGGAGGTAGGTAAAGGAGGTTGTTTCTTTCAGGTTCCTCCCATTTATGCTGGCTGATTGTTGTCTGTTGTTGTTCTTGCTGTTGGTGTTGGCCAGGAACCTTCATCACCTCTGTTTTATCTATGTTCACTTGAAGTCCTATCTTTGATGCATGACGTGTGAGAAAATGACTAATCAGTATAGTTGTATGGAGTGGACAGGAACTAGTAGAAAGACGATAAGAAAACTCTCTTTATGAACCTGAAATTCAAAGGTGACATCGAAGCAGAAATTCTTAGAAATTGCCTTTTTAAATGTCAGAAGAAGACATTTCAAGCAGCCACCAGCGGACAGTTAATCCAGTCTAAAGTTAAGGATAAGATACCGCTTTGGGTCACTTTAATGTGTATTTTTATCAGTTTACTTGTTCATGTGGAGCAAAGTATATCGACTGTATTCAACGTCAAGTTCGCAAATGTATTCTGCAACACTGTCCAGCTTGGCTAGTCAGAGGAGAAAAGAAGACTAGTAGCAGCTCCATCCTCCAACACCTTGGCAACTCTGGACACCGAGCACTCCGCATGAACAGTTCAGTGCTACACAGAGTTCCTCAATATCGTAACGAAAGGAATTCACTATCTTACATTACGTAATACGTTTTCGAGGACAAATTTTACTAGTATCTCATTGGTCTTATGAATTCCTTAATATGTATATACGATTGCACAGCTTATAAAAATGAATCGTCAAAAAAATTTTCCCATCTGTTTATGTCTTTTTCTTATGACTCAGATCACAAAGAGTAAATGAATCTGCGCCATTTACAACGATTTTCAGCCATATCACCAACTGTCTCCAGCCCTCATTGGTTTTTGCCATCCCGAGGACCCCAACCAGCCAAGCGGTTTACACCTCCCTATGTCTATGTAGCTGGCTTAAACTAACTGTTACGGATTTCATTGACTGGTGAAGCCATGTTGGTTTTGGTTTGACCACCACCACCTTTTTACAACCTGACCCCATGTCAGCTAACATTGACCATCGAGGAAGGCATGCATGCGTAACACACTTCCTAATCATCTCAGTTGATGTAACTTCACAACTTCATCGATTGATTTCCCTCCCAGCCTAGTACTAGATGCCTGACCTCAACATTACTCATCCTACTATGCACTAGAATGCATATTTCCAAGTGAAATTAGTAAGCTGAGCGTTTTGTAATTTAAATAATTTAAGAATTCATAAGCCAGCAAAGAGATCTCTTCTTTTCGTAACTCCGCTACTTCAGAGCTGTACAGTCATTTAGGGGCTCATATGTACACTGTTAAATGATAAAAAGGTTAGAGGTTATCATGACTAAAGTTTGTACTGATCCTACATGGTCAGAAGTAATAAAGTGCTCCAGTATTCACTTTTATGATGACTGTTTTGCGTTCTCCTTTCAACAGCCATGCGCTAGTAGATGATCATATGCACGTGTCTAAAGAATGTCCTGCTGGTACAGTCTATGTACTAAACTACATAAGAACAAGTGAATTGGGAATTTATTCAATGTAGCCTACACGGAGATGTGGTTGTTGCTATAGTATTAGTATTCTACGCGTAATGTAACTTGGAGATATTAACTTTATCGCTGTTAGATACACAGACATGGAGATAAATTTAGTGATATCAGCTGATTTTGTAATCAAGCTTATCAGGTTTTCGCCTCGTTTTGACATAATCAGGCACAGTAAATCAAGGAAATTAATAGAGATAGGATCGTGCAGTTAGTTTTCCAGGAGTTTACAGTGTAATATCCTATTAACGAACCCGAAAATTTCTTCAGAATGAACATGAACGAATAGAACTTGAAGCGGTAGCTCAAATCATTTATTCATAACAAGTTCTTCGGAGGGCATTTTCACCGGCTAAACCAAAAAAATAATTGGAATGATTATCAATAGGCCAGATATTTCTGCCTACAGATGTTTTTTTCAAAACTGAACCTACACGATTAGTTTCAATTAGGAAGGTGTACAGTGTTGCGATTATTTGTACTCGCCAACAAAATATCCGAAACTCATTGTTTACTGTAAACGCGTTTGTCAATATACCCCTTGATGTCACAGATTTAAAAAAGCCTACCACTTCTCAGGAAAATAACAGTAACTATGTGAAATATTACAGACTGATAAGATCACACTGTGGAGATCACATCGTTGTAACGAAGATCAAGACTACCATTAGATGAAGGGATTCGAATGTCACTCACCGCAGAAGAAGGGCGTTTCACTACTGAACCCCTGAAACGATGTATACACCATTGGCTGCCTTTCTTTATATTTCATATTACTATTACTCCGAAACATTTGATTAACTGGACAGACTTTTAGCAAAAGATCGGCATCATCGACTTTCTGGCTGACACTCTAAGAAGATCACTTGCAATCTTCCTGCTCGGCTTTATTATAGCCTTACTTGTGAATAAAAATCTCCCCTCCCCATCACCAACAATGAAAAGTGAATATCTAAACCAGATTTTGGTTTAAAAATCCATCACACCGTCTGAGATAGTTGCTGAGTAGACAATAACAGTAAAAAGACATCAGTGCGTCAGATATTTCATAGTTTTAACAGTATTCATGAATGGGATTGTCGAACAGGGCACTTTTCGCCATAGAAGATCACACCTACACACTTGCTACAACTCTGAGAAGTGCCTCTGGCAATCCTGGATATTGCGAGATGTGCAGTCTCACCACTCTGACTAAAGGAATCATCACACTTGGATATTTTATATGTTTCACAATTACAATATACACGCATTGCACCGAATACTAGAAATTTGATTAATGCCGTTTTCTGAGGGATTTGAAATAACCACAGACATCGATAAATCCAATACATAGTTTGGAGCGCTGCTCTTCAAGGAACCACATATAACTATAAACTCAAATCACTGACGCAGATTACAGAACAAGAAGTTGAAGGGTAAAGTAAATTTGTCAGTAGAGGGAAGTGAAATTTTAAAAAGCAGTAGGATGGCTGATAGTAATGTGAGACTTAAGTGTATCGGGGGGAGGGGGAGGTACTGGTGTATTCGCCATAAAAGCTCATACAGGGGAAATTCATGTCTGTTTGCCATACCTGAAGGAGTAGGGAGATTAGTTCTCTTTGAGTGCAGGATACGGCTATCTCCTTAAGGTCAGCGATATGTAATCTGTCTAAAAGTCCTAGGGATTTTGTATACGACACATAATATTTACCATGCATCGAGTCCTCCTAAACTGTTATTACTCATTTAAAACTGATCATTAGGCCCTAAAGGCTTTTTTTCTAGGGCGGAGGGAAAGCAGAAATGTAGAAATGGTCTTGAAGAGCCTTTCTTTCACATGAGGGCATATACTGTTAGCTCAATTCTCTGTATGTATTTATGAAATTACACTGCACCATGTCCACTGACTGACTTTCGACATAGGACTGGTACAGAAAGTAGAGTTGTTCACAATTTGCCACACTTGATGCGGCACACAGAGTTAGACAAAAGAGATTCAAATGAAATATTAATCAGCAGAAACATAAGGAAGAAAAAATAGAAACATAGAAGAACGTGAGGGTTTAATGAATATGGGAGGCCACAAAGAGTGAATGCATCTGTTCCATTGCGAATAATTTTCAGCTATATCATCAACCAATAGTCTCTAGACACTGGTTGTTCTTAACAGCAGCTTGATGACCACCAACCAGGTAGCCTACTAAAACCAACTGTCAAAAACTTCACAAATTGATGCGGGTTTTGCTTAAACCAATACCAAAAAGACTTTGTTATCATTGGTATTAATTTGAAAAAGGTATTCCCATCACTCCAGTAACTAAATGAATAATGCAACTAAGCGAATACGTAGTTGTTCAAGAAATACAGCTAATATACACGTGGATTATAGCATTCAGTTATCTAAACCCAAGGAACAGTGAAATGCTGACAGTGAACGGACTGCCTACTGGAATAAGCTATCTGAAACACTAATTAAGTCACTCTTACAGAATTGACCACATAATCCACTAAGAAAAGATAACCTACAGACAGTAGATTCAAGTGGTGGTTTGCAGGGATTTGATTTGATTGGCTACAGGACTTTATCATGAGCTGACATCAGTTAGAGAAGCATTGAAAAACCTGCAGGGAGTACTAGACAGATGTGCCGTCCTAGCACGGGACTCTCCATCAGTACTCACCCACCAGGGTTCGAAACCAGCACCTACAGGTTACAAGGCGAGCTCGTAGACCACATTAAGCCACTGGAACCTGATCCAATGGTCAACCCGTGAATCCCAACTTCTGCCAATTCACAGTATTGCATGACCATTAGCCAATGTCATTCGTGGTGGGTATTTGTCCTCACACCCAACCTGCTGTAACCCTACTGGTCACGACTTCTCAATAGAAATCAAGTAACTACCTACGTGAATAGGGCCAGTCGCTAGTGAGCATCAGACTGTTAACTGCAAAGTGTCAATGATAAATTCGATATCATTGAGAGAAAATTGGTCAGACCCACCCGAGTATATATTCCTTTCAACCATTACGCATTCTGTTTCGCTCTTATACTTGTCAAACTCTATTGATTCTCTTCACTCATCTTCTTGTCTACCTTTGTGTGCTATTTGGAACGTGACAACTCGAACTGCTGCACTTCGGTGACAAGTTCTATGTTGAATCCAGGCAGACAGACCCGAGTAAATAACGACCCTCTGTTAAAGCATTAATTAAAAGTTCTAACTTATAAAGTATGCTATGTAGGCTAGAGAAATAAAGACTAGCCAATAGCACTGAAGATTTGCTACGCTATGTACAATATTTTTTACGATGGGAAGGAAAATTGGGCTTATCCTGTTTTAAGTAATTGAATAGGATATCTGTAATTCCAGAACTGGTGACGAAATAAAATTAACTTAAGTAAAAGAATAAAATAAAAACAGGAATCTCGTGATTTTGGTCTGTTTTTGACCTGAATGAAATAAGCAACAGAATAATAATAATAATAACTTACGATAACATTCATGTCTGCTAACCAACCGAAACACATTCAAAATGGAGACAGATTGACAGTCACAAGTACGAAAGCGTTGTTTCTCAGCAACAATAAGTTTGCTCTGTCCACGTACTGTTTGTTGTACATAAGCTCGATTAGGTTTTCTGGAAATATTGGTTGGTGGTAATACACACTGGTTAGTTTGTATATCCTCTGCAATGGGGATTTCTTCAATACTACGCCAAAGTGATGGAGTTCGTCTTACATGACCGCTGATGCATTTAGTTGGGGAACATGGACTCCAAGCAGACCACGGGCACCATTTACGTCGAGTAAGCCTACTTCTATCATCATCAAGATCATCTGCTTCAGAATACACTGAATAATTGATTATCAACAAAAATAGGATTGCATTTGTAAGACCTAATCGTGATAGTATCGGAAATTCAGGGGATGACAACAGCGAACCATGATTCATAAACAATAAGTGTAGGGGGATTGCTTTAGGTCCATGGAGATTTCATTGGAAATCTAGTGAGGAAATAAAAAGTAAAAAACAACTATTTTTGTAAGGTAATCGATAGGGAATACAGATTTAAAAAATGAACAATACGCTTACACTGAATGGTAGCTTTCAGTAAACAGACTGATACATTACAAATAAACAGTAAAACACTGAGTACTGAATTAAAAAGCATTAACACCCTTTATTATTATTATTTAAACGCATAAAAAACTTGGTACAATATGGCACCAAGAAAGATGCGCCACACAATAATAATAAAACAACATAGATCAAAAAAAAAGGAAGAAAGGAAAAGAAAATATATATATAAGTAGAGGACGGATAAAGAACTTCATCTGGAAGGAAAACAGTCATGCTTAACAAGTTCAAACAGTGTTCGTTAGCTATCATCGGGAAGGGAAGAAAGAAGGAAATCGCAACACATTCGCCACTGATTACGATTCTTGGCCATATCCGGTAACGTTTCGAGCCATCGATTTGAGCTATCTCTCGGACCCCAACCAGGGAGTTGTGACACGCCAACCGATGTTAATCTAGCACAGAAATCCTTCATCCCACGGTGCCACGTCATGGACTGACCACCCCTCTGCCTTTTCCATCCCGTCCCAGGGCTGGCTAGCGAACAGAGACCTGTACGGAAGCCTCTGGGGTGACATTCGGAGCACATGTCCAAGTCACCGGAGCCGGTGTTTCCAGATGACGACATTCAATGAATAGTGATCTCCACTTTGTTCAAACACACGCCGCCGAACCTCAGAATTACTCACGCGATGATGCCATCGAACGCAAGCAATCCTGCGGAGACAGCGGTGATCAAACGCGCAGAGTCGCCGCACATCCTCAGCTCGGAGAGGCCAGGTTTCACAGGCGTAGAGCAGCGCAGCCCGCACCGAAGCATTGTATACCCGACCTTTGACAGCCAGGCTAACGTCGCGACGGCGCCACAGGTGGCTCAAGTTGATGTATGCCACCCTAGCCTTCATTATACGGTTGGAAATCTCATCCGTCACCCCTCCGCCAGCACTCACACAACTACCAAGGTACACAAACTTATCAACAACTTATATATATATATATATATATATATATATATATATATATATATATATATATATATATATATATATATATATATATATATATATATATATATATATATATATATATATATATATATAATTCCCTACGATCGATATTACACGTGAGTGGTTCAATAGTAGAGTACTCGCCAGCCACAAGGCAGTTACGGGTTCGACTCCCAGCTGACACGCTGCTAAACGTCACTTAGTTTACTAGTCAGTAGTGGGCATTAAAAAGAAGAAAGACTAAGCCTTAGAGTAGCAGACTTATCCATTAAAGACAACACCACTTCTACTGGAACCTTTGCTCTTCTTCGATAGCGAAGAATAAGAAAAGTCAATATCATAAGTGGACAGACCGAGCTTCCGAAATTCCTCGTACACACAATGTAAGGGTGTTAATTGATTCGCGAAGAGCAGGCTGGGTTTCGTTCAGGTCGTGGATGCATTGATCAGGTGTTCACCCTTCGTCAGTTGTAGGAAAACCGCCACACGTATTGCAGGCCAACGATCGTTGTGTTTCTTGATATTAGGGCTGCCTTTGATTCGTTGGACAGAACTGTGCTCTGGAACTGTCTGTTAGAGAGAGGTGTACCTGAGAAATTTGTTAACATCCTGAAAGCCCTATACAGAAACACCTCAGGTAGAGTGAGGGCATACAACCAACTATCACCACTGTTCCCAACCAACAGTGGGGTTAGACAGGGTTGCCCAATCTCTCCATTTCTCTTTAACTTTGCCATCGATGACATTCTGGAGTCAGCTCCGAAGGATGTGCGTGAAGGTGGTGTAGATCTGCTACCTGGAGATAGACTTTTCGACCTTGAGTATGCAGACGATATCGTCTTACTGTGCGATAGCATGCAGGCTGCCCAAATCGCACTTAATCAGTTGGCGATCAGTGTCTGTAAGTATGGTATGTGCTTTGCGCCGTCTAAGTGCAAAGTACTGTTACAAGATTGGCAGGAGCCTGTACCTGCACTTACTCTTGCGGGTGAACCGCTTGAAGTTGTTGATAAGTTTGTGTACCTTGGTAGTTGTGTGAGTGCTGGCGGAGGGGTGACGGATGAGATTTCCAACCGTATAATGAAGGCTAGGGTGGCATACATCAACTTGAGCCACCTGTGGCGCCGTCGCGACGTTAGCCTGGCTGTCAAAGGTCGGGTATACAATGCTTCGGTGCGGGCTGCGCTGCTCTACGCCTGTGAAACCTGGCCTCTCCGAGCTGAGGATGTGCGGCGACTCTGCGCGTTTGATCACCGCTGTCTCCGCAGGATTGCTTGCGTTCGATGGCATCATCGCGTGAGTAATTCTGAGGTTCGGCGGCGTGTGTTTGAACAAAGTGGAGATCACTATTCATTGAATGTCGTCATCTGGAAACACCGGCTCCGGTGACTTGGACATGTGCTCCGAATGTCACCCCAGAGGCTAAATACAATGAACAGTTACAATACAGACGAATAACCGACTAAATGATCATGAAGAGGGCACCCACAGTTCTTGTGGGTGGTTTTTATTATTATTATTCGTTAGGGTTCTGAGTGGAACATATGACTTCAGCAGTACACCTCCACTTCACCCTGTTCTATGCAGTCTTTTTCGCTGACTCCAAGACTGCCCATAAGCTTTCATTTTTTCTTCCACACATGATACTGTTGATGTCACTCACAGAAGTCCCCCCCCCACACGTGAATAATAATACCCTTATAATACATCATCACTAAGGACTGCAATTAGGGATTTTGAAGGTGAATTCTACACGGAAAAATTTGTTTAAACTAAACTCTAACTAGGTAATTCCTACGCCTGACCTAACCCTAACGCTGTATAACTGAGACTAAACGATGGTCATTTGCATGAATAATAAAAAATCCTCCGACAAACTGAGCGAAATTTTATAGTAAGGAGCCTGTATAATATTCTTATAATAATTTAAACAGTTTACAGTGGTTGGTCTGTCTGTCTGTTTTCGACATAGAACTTTGCACAAATGTGCGGAAGTTCAAGTCGCCACACTCCGTGTAGTACGCGAAGCAAGAGAAGAAAGTACAAGAAAAGCATGATAAAGACAGTGAGCAGAGGTGTGAGACAAAGGAGTAATAACGAAGAACAAAACAGTTTCATTGGAGATCATAAGTCACAAGGAGTGGATGCATCTGCGCCACTGAGAACGGAACAGTGGTTGGTAGCTTTAAGGTTATCAAGTCATTCTTTCGTTTGCATCACTATTTTTATACCTAGTCACAACTTCATACTAATTATTCTGACTAAATAAAAATGATGTGATAGAAGGTTTGAGTGGTGATTCTACATAAAAAGACAGCTCTTAAATGTCTAGAAAACAATCACCGGTCATTAAATAAATATTTCGCAGTAATATGGGATATTTACGTAAATAAAAGATATTAAATTGACTGAATACTGAAGTTCATTGCCATCAATGAATGGTCAACTAGCTTACCATCATATTAATCTAATAAGAACTCTACAACATAACAGCTGGGAGTGGGTGGTCTTCCTCTCAAAATACTCTCAATATGGCCACACGTTTATAGACTTTGTCAGGTAAGCTTTATTAAGTGCCACTAGACTTTTGGTGTGTTCCCTACAAAAGTGAAAGGGTGAATAAGAATATCTGATGCTTACAATCGAACTGGTGGACTTGGTGGTTCACATAGGGGAGCTGGAAAGTCCTGATTCCAAGCCTACATTGTATATGGGCCTCATTATCTTAACGAATAGAATGACTTATGAACCTGGAAACCATGGGTACGCAGCTACTGACGTTGCCCCACGGTCTTCTGGGTCAGCCTTACAGTCAAAAGCTCCGAGAGGGGATGACCACTTAAGACAACCACTTAATTTGGTCTGGGTGTCCAAATAGTATGTCCGCCGTTTCAAAGATTATGAGATTTTGTGTGGCGCATCTTTTGGTCTCCATAATGTACTAAATTTCTGTTTTAATAGTGAAAGTAGACAATAGGACAACTACAACTATATTTTCCTACAACTCTCGGGAGAGAATAAACGTTTTTGAGCAAATGTACTTCAACTTGTGCTACATATTCCCACTGATGGCGGCAATATTTTTCTAGGCACGAACAAGTCTGTAACCGAAAAAACTATGACACAAGTTGTATGTGACAGACTCACAATCGACTACCTTTAACTGTGTAATCAGTCAAACTAACCCACTTTTAACATTGTGGAAAAACTAAGAAGGGGTTTTCATTCACACAAACAAACCCTAGTACATTTTAGCCACATCGAATGCAATAAATAGGAGCGAAGGAATATGCCTATCACCTATCTGACTGAGTCCAATTAAATAGATAAACACGATTGGTTATTACTTTTTTCCAGTCTCTGGACAATAATCACAATCGTTACTTACGAATTAATGTCATCTATACAATAAACAACACATATATCCAGATAGATGTACACACTGAGACAATTTAAAAATGACAAGTTGACAATATCACTAAAAATATATGACCAGTTACATTTAATCAATTGGTACAAATATTTACCCAAAGGTAATCTTCAAACAAGTTCACTTTGATCTATGTACTGTTTAACTGTATTTTGATTAATAAAATCCCAGTATTTCTACGGAAGAAGCTGTAGCTTAGACAGCAAAACGTTCAGAAAAATCTTATTTCGAACTTCTAAACAGGCTGGGACCATTTTAAGTTTCGTAGTATCCTACTAGCCGTTAGGAGACCTAGATTTTACCTAAGAGCCTGGGTGTTACTCCCGGCGCGGGACCACTTTGGCGTCAGTGATTCAGTGGTAGAACGTTCACCTACCACCATCTTTGCCCGGAGTTCGAACACTAGCCGACGAACTCCTACACGACGCCAAGTCAGTAGTAAGGCAAATAAAGAAGGAAGGTTGGACATGAGGCTAGCAACCACACCCCGTAAAAATAAAACCACTGCTACCAAAACTTCAAAGCCCTAACTTGCAGCCTTGTTTCACTCGAAACGTAAAATAATAAGTAATACTACCTTTTACAAATACTTGAAGAAATCAACTCTCAGTGTGTACGGACAAAAAATATCAACCAGATACACACTCCCCTAACCGCACTCCAGTATTTTTGACCATAAAACCTCAGTTTTTTAGTTTTGCTTATCTAACAAACCGAATTCATCAGAATCTTGCTTTTCACTAGCTTGCATTGGTTATTAGGGTTCATGGAACAGCATTGAAGTATCATTGATCATTGAAGTATCGCACTAACTTAAGATTCGAATATCTCTAGTGTTTGTATTTTGTCTACTTATTGAAACATTACCAACAAACACCCAAGTACTACTAGTTGGGGATTTAAGCTGTTTACCAAATACCAAACATTCACTCTGTTCGATTTTGGCTTTGCTACCAACATGCCAATATGTTGTTGTCATAATGAACTGAGATTACCCTTAATCTATGTAGAATTTTATTTATTGATAATGTACTAACTGGAGGCAATACTGTAGTCAAATGCTGAGAATTCCATTCTGCATCACAAGTACTGTTTTGGAATAAGGCATATTATTATATAAACGGTTCAAGTGAGGTCAGCTGGGAAGTTGAGTGCGAAAAAGACCTGCCGAGCTTAAATATACACTTTGCAACTCAGTGGTCAGAAGAATGAATTAAGGTTACGTAGGATGATGGGTGGGCGAATAAAGGCAACTCGAGTATCGTATATTTATATAAAATTCAGCTAACTTTATCTGATTAATTGCACATAGGGTCCAGTTAAAACATTTAACAAAGAAATAAATCGGAATAATTGCGATTTAGTGAAATGTGCCTGGGATAGCAGATACCCCTAAAGATTCAGTAACGATTTAGTAAGACCAAAAGCAAAAGACTCTAGACTAAAAAATCGGCTTTACTCATTTATTTATTTCCGAGTGATTATACATCAGAAACAGCCACTTACTAATATTCTTACAACAAACTTGGTACATTATGGATACCGACAGACGCACTATACGAAATCATAGTTTCTGCGACACCTAGGATGCTGCCTGAACACATATACCGAAGCAGGTAGTTGTCTCAGGGGGGGGCCAACTCCTCTCCAAGCCTTCTACTTGAAATGAGATTCACAAAGTAGTGGATCAGAGTAAGGCACTGCACTCCCATGGTTCCCAGTGACCTAAACAAGTTCATAAGTCATTCGACTCGTTAGGATAATGAGGCCCATGCACACCTACACCTATACCAGTCCGGCTGTAAGCACCAGACATTCTCATTTGCTCTTTCACTTATGGGAAGGTAATGAATACGACTTAGCAGTATATGAAGGCATGACCGCATGAGAGTATTTCAGGAGTAAGACCGAAGTCCAAACTCATTCGTACTAGGTCACTTATGGGGGCTCAGAAATAGCCAACAGAAAACTAGAGGATTTAATGACATTTTATATACGCAACCTCCTCCTTACCAATCAGCTTCCCACAAGATACATGATACCACACAATATTTGTAAGGCATCCCCTTGCAGATAATGACAGCTCTGTTACACATTTTTAGACCCTTTTCAAAGAAAGGTAATGGTTTCGTCTCAGGGTATTATAACACTCTCCATTCTCCGCGTCTCCCTAAATAATTTAATCACCCTTAGAAGAAGCTGAGGGTTAGTATTTTCGGTGAATGACTGATGGGTGTTAAGAAGCTGCAAGAGGCTCGCACAAGCGTTTTCCTTAGAATACTAACCACTTTATAATGTCTTACAGGCGCCAGTAAAGTTTACCAACACTTTCTAGAAGATTACTAACTAGTCTTGAATTTAGTTCGGCTGGATGTTAAGTTATATTAGTACACGTATCATACTAATGAATAATCATTAAAACGGCCACCAAAATATTGCACAAACGTAGACGGAAATGTGATCAGGAGCTGAACAAATGCTTCAGAGGAATCAATAGCTCAGTATGCACCCATGTTACTAGTGACTGGTAACAATGTATCCTATTTAATTATATGCCAGGGTAATAAACGAATGACACCAAGAAGTTAAAACGGTGATAACTATCCCGAAACTAGTGCTAGTTAGGAACATTGTGCTGTGTAAAGCTGCAGAAAATTACTTTCATTGTCTGAACTTAGACCTTACTCCTCAACGCCCAAGCAAACGACTCTTCTTTGGTCACTAAGTCCAACTTATGCACAAAAAAGCCCTACCTAGTACTACAATATTTATCAAACACTTATTATCCAGTTAAATCTGTTGCTGCTTTAAACGTAGCGTTTAGTCCCACGATGACAAGGCATTACACTACTCAGTGAAGCGAAGTATTTGGTTTCTGGTTTAGACCAAACCAGCTTATTGCTCGCGCTCAAAATACCTAATTTTCCTTCATTAAAACAGTCTATGTGACAAACCTATCTTTCAGTAGTTACTGTAGACTATATAGCAACATTATTCTGGAATCACAACTACTTAACTATCTGAAATCTCAATCAGAAACCTTTACAAATATATATATAGCTGGTGACCTTAATTGCATATTAATCCACAAAACATAAATATTTGCATGTATTCAAATCTCTCAGGGATATCCAAAACCTCCGCAAAAGAAAATATCTTACTGGACAATTAGAGAAACCGCGTTACGAAGATTTTGAAACGCGTTGATCAATCCAATGATCAATACACTTCTGCAGATGACTGAAATTATCCGTAACTTATCAAGGTCATTGGTGTAGTGAGAAGCTTAAAGGTCATTTTCGTCCATATCAGTCGGCCATGTTGGATTGCAGTTCCGTAGATGTTCGTGTACGCGTTTGTTGTTCCGTTTATCCTCCCGTTATACACGACTTATCTTGTTGCGTATTGTTCACAAATGTTGCATTTCACCCCATTTTTTGTTTCCGTTGCTGTTAAAATGAATTATTTCTTTGGTTTGGAAAGTTTTCACTACCAGGTCAGTGCATTCATTTCGGTGTGATTGTTTCATACCTTGCATTCATGTGGCATTCAGTGTTTTAGTTGGTTTTCAGCTGTTAATGAATCGGTACTGTGTAGAGGGTTTTGAAATTGTGCATATGAAGATGTTTGGCTGGCAGAAGCAGTTGTTTCCAGTCCATTAGTTGTTTGCCGTGTAGCGGTAAATAATTCCCCAAAATTATTGACCACAGCAATCACTCATTGGATGCTGACCACCACTGTTTAAGTCGACTTGTTTAGCTGAAGGCTTCCGGTCAAGCATCCCCGCCATTTGGTACCTCGTCGTGTCACGTGCACGATCACTAGCTAGCTAAGCGTTCGTCTAACGGCTTGTTTTGGCTCCTAAATATATCGCTTGGTTTGGACGATCAATTATTGGCTTTTGCTTTGTCTTTGGTACGCGAGAATAAATTAATTAGAAGTTGTTGAACGAGATATCCGTCAACCCTTAAACTGGTGAGCCCAACCGCGAACTTCATCCACGAAAAATCCGCAGATAACCCCGGTGAGTTCGTTCCATTTTGTATTTGTTCTTGTACCATATATTATTCGACATAATTTTCGTCATGAGTGATCTTAGTCCCAAGGTCATCCGTATCCGCTCAACTCCTAAAACCATTCAGCTCGTACCATACTGGCCAGATAATGCTGAAACGTGGTTTCTGCTAGCTGAAGCAGATTTTTGTGAGCATGGGATAACCGATCAACGTTCACAGTTACTTGCAGTTATTCACGCCCTACCGCGGGAATTCAGCAAGTACGTAACATCACAGATGTTCAGTCCCGAGGTAAGTAACTCGTACGAGTTGCTGAAAGCATCCCTCCTCAGGAGAAACGTTCTCACGGACCGACAACGTCTAGATGAATTATTTCGTAACATCGAGTTAGGAGATCAGTCAGCCGTGAGCATGCTGACAAGAATGAAAGAAATCGTCGGCCAAAGTCAGTTCGACGAAGGACTATTTAGAGAACTCTTCTTATCCAAGTTGCCACAGTCTGTACAGACCGTACTTGTGACACTTCAGGGTACTGTAATAGAGGACTTAGCTATTACTGCAGATAGGATTCTAGAGATAACCAAACGGTCTGTTCCCGAAATATGCTCGATGACTAAGCAGACTTCGAGTAAGGATCCTGCAATGATAGAGTTATGCAACTCCATCCAGCAGATGTTTAGGTCAAACATGCATTCTAACTCCTCCGACCGTCGTCCTAAATCTCCTCAACGCAGGAACTCACGTGGTCGATCTAAGTCCAAACCACGTTCACTGAAAAACCCTGACTGGTGCTGGTACCACAACACCTATGGCCAAGAAGCGAAGTGTTGCCGTAAGCCTTGTAACTTCGGAAATGTCTCAAAGTCTGCGGGAAACTATCCCGCCGGCACGCGTTAGCGGCAACCGTCGCCGGTGGCACTAGCCGCCTACTTTACATCCATGATGTGATAAGCCAGACTCGATACTTAGTCGACACAGGCGCCGAAGTCAGCGTCCTTCCTGCTACAGCAGCAGATCGACAGAAGGAACCTACCTTCAACTTACAGGCTGCAAATGGAAAACCAATCGCAACCTTTGGTAGGAAATACGTCTATCTGAACGTAGGTTTACGCAAACCTATTCGGTGGATTTTCCTTCTCGCTGACGTTACAATGCCCATCATTGGCACGGACCTACTTAATCATCATGATTTACTCGTAGACGTCCGCCGAAAACGACTGATTGACAATACTACTAGTCTGTCTATCAAAGGCATCAGCTACATAGGCCCTAGTTTGTCACCCGTTAAGATAAAGGCAATTCTTGATCCAACTTTTCAACCTATGTTGACAAGTATCCGGAACTTAATTGCCCGTCGAACGACCTACCGTGCATAACCAGCAATGTTATGCACCACATCATTACCACAGGACAACCTGTGACATCTAAAGCACGACGATTAGCTCCTGACAAACTGAGAATCGCCAGGAATGAATTTGACCATATGCTTAGCCTTGGCATCATTCGACCTTCGAATAGCCCATGGGCATCCCCACTTCATATGGTTCCGAAAAAGGATAGCAACGATTGGCGACCCACCGGTGATTACCGGCGAGTGAATGCCAAAACAACCCCTGATTGCTACCCGTTGCCTCATATACACGACTTGACGGCAACCTTATCCGGCGCGACTATATTCTCCAAAATCGACTTGGTTAAAGCGTATAACCAAATCCCGATGGCAACAGAAGATATCCCGAAAACGGCTATCATTACGCCTTTCGGACTTTTTGAATTTCTACGTATGCCATTCGGTCTTCGGAATGCAGCCCAAACATTCCAACGCTTCATTGACGAAGTATTTCGCGGTCTCGACTTTGTATACGCATACTTAGACGACTGCCTCATTGCCAGTCCAGACAAGGAAACTCACCTTAGGCACTTGGACTTGGCATTTGACAGGTTACGCCAACATGGTGTTACCATTAATATTCAAAAGTGTCAAATCGGTGTTGACTCACTCGACTTCCTGGGTCACACTATTGACTGCAAGGGCATTCGCCCACTGGCTACTAAGGTCGAGGCTATACTGAACTTTCCAGAGCCACAGACGGTGAAAAGTCTCCGCACTTTTAACGGCTTAGTAAGTTATTATCGACGCTTTATTCCCAACTGTGCCTCTTTGATTCAGCCATTGACAGACCTCCTTCGAGGGAATAACAAGTCCATAGAACTTGACGCGTCTGCTCGAAATGCTTTTACCCAGATTAAAAAAGCTATTGCGAATGCCACACTTCTGATGTATCAGGATCCAACGGCACCGTTAAGTATCTCGGTTGATGCATCAAACACTGCAATCGGCGCAGTTCTACAACAGCTAGTTGACAAAGAGTGGCAACCACTTGCCTTTTTCTCCGGCGCCTTCAATTAGCTGAAACGAAGTACAGCACATTCGGCAGAGAACTTCTGGCTATGTACTGTGCTATACGACATTTTAGACATTCGGTAGAGGGTCGTGAATTTATAATTTTTACGGATCACAAACCTCTGACGTACTCTCTGAACTCACCTTCAGATAAGTATTCACCCAGGGAATCACGACAACTGGATTACGTCTCACAGTTTACATCAGATATTCGCCATGTATCCGGAGTAAACAACACTGTGGCAGATGCCTTGTCGCGCGTTTGTTCCCTCACCCAAATCGACGGCATAGACCTAGTAAAACTGGCTCGTCTTCAAAAAGAAGATGCCGAACTTCAACATGAGTTGTCGAAAACAACTCTACAATTAGCTGAGAAACCCTTAGGTATGGGAAGAGATACTATTCTATGTGACATTTCCACGAGTACTCCTCGCCCCATCGTGCCTAAAAGTTATCGCCGTAACGTCTTCAATACGTTGCATGGCTTATCTCACCCAGGTATTCGAACTACTGTCAAGCTCGTAACTAGTCGGTTTTGTTGGCCTGGCATTAATAAAGAAGTAAGGGAATGGGCACACACGTGCTTAGCTTGTCAAAAGTGCAAGGTGATAAGACACACCAAAAGCCCACTTGGCACCTTTCTTCTCCCTGACGCTCGTTTCGAACACGTCCATATAGATTTGGTTGGTCCCCTTCCTGAATCACATGGATATACTTATATTTTAACTTGCATCGATCGATTCACACGATGGCCGGAAGCAGTACCCATCAAGGATGTATCTGCTGAAACAGTCGCACGCGTCTTCGTAGAAAGATGGATCGCTAACTTTGGATGCCCATCTTCCATAACAACTGATCGCGGGCGGCAATTCGAAAGTGGCTTATTCTTTGCCCTGACTAAAATCATAGGTTGCATGCGATTTCGAACAACAGCCTACCATCCTCAAGCTAATGGTATGGTAGAACGTCTACACAGACAGCTGAAAGCTGGTCTGTCAGCTGCAAACACCACCCATTGGACTGAATCCCTTCCGTTAGTTCTCCTAGGGATACGAAACGCCTTGAAAACCGATGCTGGTTGTACTAGCGCCGAGCTAGTATATGGCACGACACTGCGACTGCCTGGTGAATTTGTTTCTCCCTCGAGCTTCCCACCAGTGGTAGATCACGCTTCATACGTCAGCAGGCTTACAAACGCAATGCGTTCAGTTAAACCTGCTCCCCTTCGTCCACAGTCCATTGATGTTTTCGTTCATCCGTGTTTGAAAACTTCTTCACATGTATTTGTTCGTCGCGACTCTGTGCGCAGACCCCTGGAACCCCCATATGACGGACCTTATAAGGTAATTAAACGTTCTGATAAATTCTTTGTCTTGGACAAAAACGGCCGCGAGGACACCGTCAGCATTGACCGTCTGAAACCGGCTTACTTGGAGGGTAATCCTATTAGCATAGAGCTGAACGTACCCCAAAATCCACAAGTAACAGAAGATCGTGTAGACATCGATGAAGTCGCTAGCACAGCGACAGCTACCGAACCTTCTATCGAGCCTCCCAAGAAAACCCGTTCTGGACGCACCGTAAGGTTCCCAGAATATCTGCACACTTATTTGACTTAACGAAGTCGTGTGATTCACGCAACTCATTCGTTTGTGGTACTGACTATTTTTTTTGACGTATCAATTTTTTTTATATACAGTACCACCGAACACAAAAAATTTTTTTCCAACAGTTCATGTAACATACACAAAAAAATTAATTAGATGTATTTTTTTTCGATGTTCTGAACTTAGCATTATTTTACTGTATAGTAAATGCACATAATTTTTTTTAACCAAAAAGCTCATTTCGTACATTTTCCTCGACATGGTTCTTAGCGTTCTTGTTTTCTTTTCCAGGTGCGACGGGCACTGGACAGGAAACAAACGAAGCACGGAATCCAACGAACAACAACAAGGAAGCTATGTACAAACACCCTATTAGCATAGGCAGACAAACCAGTAGGCATACGACCAAGCCGCTCGGAAGATTTTTTTCACCCGAAAGGGAACCATCGAGTTTTTTTACTTCCGGCTGGTTCTGTCTTAGGGTCCTCACGACCCCACTAGGGGGGGAGTGAGCTGTAGCGGTAAATAATTCCCCAAAATTATTGACCACAGCAAT